TCCGCTTTGTGGGCAGTGGCAGCCCAACCTCCTGCAGAACCTTCTGTTAAAATCCGAGATGAGAACACCGGAGCAGCCCCAGCTCTGTTTCCTCCATAGGGTTTAATAGTAATATTAGCAAATTGCAGCAGCTGGGCTGGGAAAAGAAGCGAGGGGAACAACGGAGGAGCCAAGACATCAAGATTCCATTGTCTTGGGGGAGGGTATAGCTCAAGTGGTAGAGCGCATGCTCAGCATGCACCAGGTCCTGGGTTCAATCCCCAGCACCTCCATTGAAAAAAAATAAATAAATAATTAAATAAATAACCCTAATTACCCTCCCCCCTAAAAAAGCTAAGAAAAAAAAAAGATTTCTCTGTCTTAACAGCTAAACTCTGCACTCCTTATCTCTGCAAGAGATATTAAGCTTGAGGAAACATCTTAATCTTTCCCCAGGGAGGCCTCATGTCATCTACATGACATAAATCTATCGCCTTCCCTTTCAGAATTATCAGGGGAAGTGATCTTTGGTCAGCATGGGAGAGAACATAACACTGGAGTAAAATGAAGAGGGAAGCTCTGGAGTCAGACTGTCGCGGCTTGGATTCTGATTCTATCATTAACTAGCGAGAGGACATTGGTCCAAAAAATAGAAATAATAATAGTATGTCCTTATAAGGTTATATTAAATGAGATATACACCTAGAGCCCTAAGAAAAGTGCCAGGCAAATAGTAAATTGCCATTCGAGTTAGCAGGATTCATCCCTATTTCTCAGGAGGTAGGTATCATTATTTATGCAAACGAAGTCTCACATCATGGCTGATTGGTCTTAATTCTGAACTCATGCACATTCTGGAAAAGAATATTGCTCTAAGAGATGTGGAAAGTTCACTGCACAGAATCAACTCTCCCCCATCTGTTTAAAACACCAGTCCCACACATACCCAAACTTAAAGCTGCCCAAGGTTCTAGAAACAATAAGAAATTTCTTCCCATAGTTTCTTGTGAGAAATCATGGAATCAAAAAAAACTCATACAGCTGGTCACTACGTACTTTTTTATTGTCATCGACTTATTCACATGTAGATCAGGCAAAACCTGGACCACAGGACACACCATCTTAGGTGTGCAGATTGAAGTTCTACAGAACGTAAAGCGAATGAAACGATCTTCGTCTTTCAGAGGCTAACTACCAAAATGATGACTTTTCACTTCCTGGTGATTGTTCTCTTTTTAGGGTTTCCTATTTCACTGCTTCTCTCTAAACCAGAAAAGGATTCCAAGGCAAGGAAAAGGAAGAGGAAAGGTGTCCCCCAGACATCCTGGATGAGGAGCTGATGCGATAATGAAACGCTTTGACCTGGAGAGAGAGGTGGGGGCACTTCGAAATGGGGGAGGGGCATGTGTTGAATGTCGGGTAGAAAAAGGCGTGGACCAGAACAGGCGTCGTCATTTCAGAGGATCCCGTGATACGAAGCATCTACAGACCGGACCAAAGAGGCTCCGGCCTCCCAGAGCAGGGAAAGGGAGGGACACGTGCTCCCTCCACCTGCCCCACAGCAGCCAGGACTGAGCGTGTAAACTCGCCCAGGACTCTGCCCAGGGTGTGATCAGGATGTAACTGCGTGGCAGGCAGGAACAGTGGGCAGCGAAGCTCAGCTCCCCCTGGGGGGTGTCCAGGCAATGGGGGTGTGGCGAGTGTCAACATCAGCAGCCTGGCCAAGCTCTGCCTGATGGGGCCACTCAGGCCCTCAACCAACACCCAGGAAGTTTCCATTCTAATTTAGGTCACTGATGCCCGCTTTCCTTTAGACCCAGTGTAACATGGTCCAGCACAACACAACACAAGACAAAAGCATAGCTTGACAGTTAAGAACGACTCCTCAGAGAGAGAAAGGAGAAGAAATAGGGACAATCTAAGTTCACAGAGCCTGGAGCAGTGCTTCCCAACAATCCATCGCAACGACCGTTTCCCTTGGTTTTTATTTCCAATCCATTGCAGACCGTTTCTTTCACAAAATGTAATAAAAGCAAATGACTTGAAAAATGAAGTGGAAACAAAGTCCTGCAAAGTACAAGTCCAATATCTTGTTTTTAACTGACATTCCAGTGTGCCAGTTTCTGGTGTACAGCACAATGTCCCAGTCATGCATATACATACACATATTTCTTTTCATATTCTTTTTCATTAAAGGTTATTATAAAACGCTGAATATAGTTCCCTGTGCTATACAGAAGAAATTTGTTTTTTATCTATTTTTATGTATAGTGGTTAACATTTCCAAATCTTAAACTCCAAATTTATCCCTTCCCACCCCTTCCCCCAGTAACCATAAGATTGTTTATTATGTCTGCAAGTCTGTTTCTGTTTTGTACAAAAGTTCATTAGTGTCTTCTTTCTTCTTTGTTTTACATGTATTATTAATTTTTAATAACAATAATAATAGCCAACATTAATTTGGAGATTCCCAAAGTCCAAGCGTTGTTCTAAGCAGTTGACATCTCATCCCTCATGAAGTTCTTTTTTTTTCCCAGACACATTATACTTTATTTAGCTAAGCGTCTTTTTTTTAATTGACATATAGGTGATTTACAATGTTGTGTTAGTTTCTGATGTACAGCACAGCGATTCAGTTACACAAATATATATTACTTTTTATATTCTTTTTCATTATAGGTTATTACAAGATACTGAATATAGTTGCTAGTGTCTTCCTTATTCTTTTTTTTTTAGACTTCACATATGAGTGATATCATATGGTATTTGTCTTTCTCTTTCTGGTTTACTTCACTTAGTGTGATAATCTCTAGGTCCAACCATGTTGCTGCAAATGTCATTATTTCATTCTTTTTTATGGCTGAGTAGTATTCCAGTGTGTGTGTGTGTGTGTGTGTTTGTACACACCACAACTTCTTTATTCAGTCATCTGTTGACGGCAAGTCCAATATCTTAATTCTCAAATTCAAGACGAATCTCTTCTGTCAAACAATGGTAGATGTTCTCAGCGCTTCCTCTCAGTGTGGTCTCCCTGTGCACCGGGAGCCACTTGGGCCTGGAGGAAGGACTATTTCTCGGAGAACAGGAGTCCCCTGTTCTTGCCCAAGGCTGTGGACCAAGGTGGGAACTGGGGCTTTCCGAGGACATCTCTTGCGAAACCTTAACCTGCAGATGGAGCTCTCCGTCATCCAACACATGCCACTCAACTCCTAAGGCGTCAGTGTCCCACCTCGTCTTCCCCGATGCTCCCTTCCCTGACCTCCGACCAGCTTTGATGAGCGGCCCCGGGGTTATTCGGAGTCATCTCTGTAACTATGAAGCGAGCACAGCTTCACCATGTCTCCCAGGCCATCTGTCCAGCATCGAAGTTTCCGTTCTCCTCGGTGCTGTCACAGTTGCAGGGAGCGGGTGCTCAAGGACCCGGGGCTTCTCTCTGACGTCTGTAGCCTCAACGATGTCCACCCTTACCTGCATCGTATTCTCTCATCTCAGCACTCAGCTTCCAGATGAATAAGGAAAACGATTGAAAGTGGAGAATGAGGTCTGTGAAGAAACGTCAAGGCAAGCAGGCGCTGGAAGAGTGATGATTGACACCTGCAGGTCAGCGGGGAGAGGGTGCTGCCAGCCTCCCCTCACTGCCCATGGACGACTGGCCAGGGAGGACTGAGCTGGCCACCCCTTGATGGACAAGCTCCAGTCATGTGAGACTAACACTGATCTTCCTACTTCCTGTGTCTAACAGAAGGCCCTCCAAACCTGAAACCTGACAGGAAATACCCTTGTTCTTGGTCTATGGAGATAAAAGGACGGTTTGGTATTAAGCTCTCCAAAAACACAACCATGACCTCGTGGGGCTAGTGAGTCCATGACTCAGTCAGAAGTGGGAGGGCAAGAGCCCCTCAGCCCCTCTGGCCGCATCTATTTCCTCTCTCCTTGGGGGAGGAAAGGTAGGAAGACCCAGGAGCCCGCTTCAAGTTCCCACAAACATTCACTCATGCTCAACTGGTAATGAGGCTGAAGGGTCTTTAATGACGTCTCCTTGTACCATTATTTTGTTTGTGTTTTAAGAAATGTTTTTTGCTTTCTATGTTTGACAAAGGGTGAATCATTCTAAAGGGTACACTTTGCTCAAAAGCATACACATCAATAAATCAGTGTGATAATGACCTTTGCATTAATAATATCCTGCAATGTTTATCCCACAGCTCAGGACAAGGCTTATGTTCCTAGATTAGGATGGTGAGGGTACAAAGCTTGCAAGTGCTGATCGACCCAATATTAGGAATGTTCTGGTTTCTAAATTTGTTAGCAATTAGAGTTTATTCATGCTGTACCCAAGAGCCATATGTGAGATCTTTATCCTTCTAAAAACCCAACAAAAAATTCTTACTCATGAACATTTCATGTCTGCTTTCTGAAAAATTCCAGTAAGTCCTTCTGAATCCAGAGAATATAGTTTGCTATGACTGAATCAAATAGTCCCTGAGCACAGAACTGGAATTATATTTACAGCCAAGAATACTTCTATTGCAAAAAATTTCTTCCTCATTTTCTAGTATCACTTTAGGATTTTCCAAAAATGGAATTTCTCAGTTTCACCATAGTCTCACTCATCAGGTTTGGGTTGGGATGTCTGCTGGTCCTTTTGCAAAGTCCAGTCTCCAGGAGACAATGGAGATTTGCCACCAGCAAGGTCAGGATTCTACCTGGATGTGCTGTGGCTACATAGAAGGCAATTCCGGGAGAGGGGTTCCCAAAACACACTACGCCAGGGGTGGCGAAGTACAGCTGCCACCAATGCCGGCCACTGCTTGCTTTGGCCTACAAACTAAGTAATTTTTTACACTTTCTAATGGTTGAAGAAAAAATAAAGTGAATTTTTATGACACAGAAATATTACATGCAATTTAATTTTTAGTATCTGTATATAAAGTTTTATTGGCACATCGCCATGTCATTTATTTATGTGCTGTCTCCGGCTGTTGTCACACAAGAAATGACAGAGTTGAGTCACTGCCACATAGACTGTGAGGCGCACAAAGCCCCAGAGGTTTACTCTGTGGCCTCCATGGTGGCTTCACCACCTGTGCATCAGAGGAGACCGAGCTCATTTGGAAGTACAGATTCTGAGATGTATTGTTAATGAGCCTCCTGTCTCTGCACCGTCACTGGAGACAGTGCCAGGGCTGCGCCCACTGGAGCAACAGAGGAAGTTCGTCTTCACTGTTTGTCATCAGCACGACAGGCTTGGTCCTCATCATGGGGCCAGGCACTGTCGAGCATGCTGAGAAGCACTGGTTGTTTCTCATTCTGCTGAAATATATACATCACATGAAATATACCATGGTGACCATCGGTAAGTGTACATTTCAGTGGCATTAAGTACATTCACATGGTGCAACCATCACCACCATCCATCTCCAGAACTTCTTCATCTTCCCAAACTGAGATCTGTCCCCACTAAACAATAACTCCCTGTGCCCCCAGCCCCAGCTCCTGGCACCCACCCCTCCACATTCTGTCTCCGGGAATTTGATTTCTCTGGGCACCTCATATACGTGGAATCATATAGTATTTGTCCTTGTGTGATTTGTCCATCACTTAGGGTGAGGTCTTCGAGGAACAACAAACTTGATGGCTGTTTCCCAGTTTACACAGAGTGTCGCATACGTTATCTGGCTTACCTGGTAAGGCTATTTTGTGAGGCAAGTTTTATTTATCCCACGAGAGCAGGTGCTGTGAGTCAGCTCTGAGGCTATTCTGAGGTCACCTGCAAGGAGTGCTCTCACCTTGGGTCACACTGCACCTGGGCATAGGGCAGACCCAGAAGAGCTGGAAGTTGTCACCCTTAAAGTGACCCTGGTGGATGATGGGCAGATGGTGGCTCAGTACCACCCTGACCCTGAAGAAGGGCACTTCTGAGGCAAGTTACACATGGTCCTCAGAGGGGCCCCCCTCCCCGGGGCCCCTGTACTCAGAGTCACCCTATTTTGACTTCCTCACTTCCTCTTGTGCTCCCTGAGAACCTTCTGCATAAGTTATACGCACAGAATCCTTGCCTCAGGATCTGCATTGGGATGAACTCCAACTGAGTCACCAAGTGTAGAAAACTAAGAGGCAGAGAGGTTGACGTGCTGACCCCAGCACAGCTGGTAAACAGAGGCAGGCCTTTCGCCCTCATCTTCTCTCCCCAGGGCAGTGTCCTTCTCGCTGCTCCCCTGCCTTTGGGACGAGGTCTCTGCCTCAAGCACTCAGTCTGCTGTTGGCGGACAGATCAGAAACGGAGTGATAGCCTGTCCCTCTCTCTTTCCCACAGGGGAAAACACGTAAAAATGTCGTACCACAGGAAGTGGTCCTTTTTCAGCGGGATAGACCTGACCTGTCAAAACTGATTACTATAAATAAGTTTAGAAAGCATAGATTTATGGAGCACAGAAGACTGAAGAAGGGGCGGTGGTCACATACACATTCTCTCTCTGTGTAAGTAACATGATCACCAATTTGACTTCGCAGCCAGTTTGCGTGGTGTCAACCATAGACTGTCAATGGTTCCGAGACCGCCTCACGGAAACGTTGATGAGGCTGGAGGACACCTTCGTTCTAGGCCATAAAGGAGGCTTGGTGGAGGCCAGTTTTCTAAGATACATTTGGTAATAAATGTTTTCCTGTTTTGAGGATTTTTAGTCCTGATACAACGTTGTGATGTGAGGGAGTCAAATGTGAAACAAAAGGAAAAGAAGCTTCCCGTGTGTGTTATTGGGTGATCAAGCACTTTACAGCTCCCACCTCCTTCCTGCAGCCCTGCCCCCCGCTCCAGCCCTCCTTCAGCAGCCCCAGCAGCTGGGTGTCTCGTCTTGTCCTCTCCATGAGAAAAAGCACAGGAAGAGTCATATATGGCTTGATGTGTTGTCCCTTCCAGGGATGTAATTTTAGAAAGAATTGAGTAAAAAGTCAAAATTTAACCTAAAGGAATTACTTCACTAGTGGTGAAATTGTGGGAGCCCCATGAGACACCTGCCAGGTGCTCCCCACACAACCCCATGAAGGAGACTGACCATTCCGAGTCCACCTGCACTGGGCACAGGGAAGGGGAAGAGTGATGCGGACCGCTGGACCCTCCGCTTGCTAGCTCAGTGCCCACGCATTCGTTGTCTGCAGAGAAAAACCAACACGCGTGGTGGGGGACAAGCTAGTCCAGGCTGATGCTGCAGTGCACGGACTTTCCCCCAGCCTGCTTCCTGAAAATCTGTCCTCTCTTGGCCCGGACTGAAATGGATGGTGCAAGACAAAGAGGAGGGAGTTGCTGGAGAACGGTTTTGGGGCAGGCAATGGGGGAGGGAAGCTGCAAGACAGGCATGGAGGCTCACCTTAACCAGGAGCTCAGTGAGCTCCCCCAGCGTAAAAAGAGGAGAAGCCTGTGTGCAGAGAGACACAGCTAGATGGGAAGACGTGATGCCAGTAAGATGCGGGAGGCTTCTCTTCTTGGTAAAGGGAAACAAGCCATTAGCTGCGAGTGAGGGCAGGAAAAAGATGCTGGAAGACTGGGAAAGAGAAGGCATGAAATGGTCACCCAGGAAGTCAGGTTCCAGGAAGGCGCTGCTGAGTGGCTGGAGTGTGAGCTGGATGTAGATGGATAAATGGAATTTGGCGGATTAAAAGGGGGGAAGGGCAGTCTCTGCAAAAGGAACAGCATCACTTGGGTGACAGGGTTACTAGGGTGTCACCCCCTAAGGAAGGAACCCAGGAGGGACAGTGGGGACTGCACGGGCTGCATTGGAGGTGTCTGCGGGGCGTCAAGTCCAAGTGTTCTTCAGGTGGTTGTATGTACGGGACTGGAGCCCAGCAGAGTCTGCTCCATCAGTGCAGGTTTGAGGGTCATGAATATGTGAGCAGTTGTGGATCAGGACCCAGGGAGAGTATGCAGGAGGGGAAGGGCATGGGGCACCGAGTCACAGGAAACATGGAAATTTAAGGGGTTTCCTGTTCAGAAGGAGATGGTTTGAGTTGCAGTAAGAGACTCAGAGTGTAGCTCAGAGAGGAGCGGGGCTGAGGTCACTGGAATGGACACGGAGAAGGAGGCCAGGGGAGGGCTTGTGGAGAAATGCTGGACTACCCACGGCCAGGTCGGACGGTGGTGAGAGAGGAAGGAGAGAGAAGGCCTGGGAGCCACATTCCAAGAAACTTGAAGAATGCGGTGCCTAGAGGCCAAAAATAACAGCAAAATATGAGCCAGGAGGGGGTGGTGGGCAGGACCACACGGGGCCCCGAGGACCCCCTCTCCAGCCAATCTGCAGACTGGGAGTGACAGCCTTGCTCCTCCGAGCTGCCCGCCGGGAACCTCCTCCCTCCTTAGTCCCTGGAGATCCTATCTGCACTCCAGCAACTAAAGGGCACCTCCCTGAAACATCCCTTCTTACTACAAAAGATGTGATTTTGCTTTCCTCCTGACTGCCCCCCAGCTTTGCGTGTAACGCTCTCCGGGCGCTGACTGGTGTGCAGCTGGGAGCTGTAGACACCTGCGTGCGTCCTCCTTCGCCACCTCCCATCCCAGAAGGCGCGGGCTCCACTCGCTCCTCCTGGCCTTGTTTAGTATGGGGTCTGACAGAAAAGGCACCCATGAATACCAGTGGCACGGAAACCCTTCCCCTCCATCAAGGCCAGGAGTTACATTCTAACAACTTTGTCCCTGATTCCAGGGAATTCTCACGCTGGCTCAGGTGAATTATCTAAATGCCCAGTGGGTATCGATTATCTTGTCTACTCTCCATATTTGCAGATTACACATCTCTTCTTCTTCTAGTCTGAACACTTTTGGGAGCAGGTTTAGGTAAAGAGAGTTGAATTTGTCCTCCTGACGCTGTCAGACTCTGACTCCTAGCTCTCTGCAAGGCATTACTCTTTAAAGATTAGAATTTTTATATTCATTATCACACTCAGTTTCTCCACTTTATCTGCAGAAAGGCAATAAATAGGGACTTCCCATTAGTTCTTCATATCTTCCTTGGGTGAAAACTCCTTGTTCTTTGTTAAAGAGTCTTTAAGTTTATCTCTGAGACCAAAATCCCTCTGAGATGAGATGAGGTTGATTCCTTTGTCACTAACCCAGAGGCCAGCGCCACATCGGGGGAGATGATGGTAAACAGAGGACAGTGACTCTGATCTCCATATTCTGTTCCTTCCCAGTGAAGATGCTCTGTTTTCAATCAAAAACAAGATCATTCTAAATGTCACTGCTCCACACCCATCTGGGCTCCTGAAAGCAAGCTGCCTTGTTTCTGAATCAGATGTCATCACCCACTGAGAAGCCTCCTGCCTCCCAGCTTAGTGGGGTGGGAAAGATTTGCACATCTCTCCCAGCAAGGCTGCCCCCTGGTTACAGGCCGCAGAGGAAGGGGATGGAGAAGAAACACACTGTGACAGAACCGTTTCATCATGGCGTCTCTGAGCCATCGGAGGCCAACAGTTGTGTAAATACCAGCAGGCTCACTCATGGGTGTGCACATTTTACCCCCACAGAGCCACACGAAGCATCGCTATTATCGTGGGACGCCTAGAAGGGGCAGCAGGAAAGCAAACAGGGTGACCTAGTCTACAGGCCATGGTGATAGGTTTCCCATTAAAACCCGGGACACACTGTCCGGAGGGGCAGGCGAGCAGCAGAGCACTGAGACGCTGAGGAAACCCTGCAAAGACCTGTGCTGGGAGGAACATCTGAGTTTCCTCCGAGAGGGACAACACTCTCCTCAGCCCCTTCCAGGAACGACCCCAGGAAGTGCCCAGAGCCCTGCGCCCAGCTGCGCGAGATCGCTCCCGCTGTGAACATAACCTGCCGCTTCAAGGGGCAGGGGTCCAAAAGCCCCGTCACCCGCAGGAGCTCATGAACTAAGTTTCATTCATGAACATTTATGTCTAGCAAAGGATTTCAAAACAGACTTTCTTTACATTGAGCGTTCCCCCAGAGGGAAAGGAGGCCGTGAGAAATTCCTGTACTGGTGGCCAAGTGTTTCCCCTCACAACCCGAAATCACGCTCTGGCACATGGGGTGTCACAGCATCTGCAGGTGTTTGCAGCAGAGGTGTCATCCCACAAAAAGTCTTCATGCAGCAAACAGAAAGGAGACCCTCATAAATTACACTCAGCATCACAGGACGCATGGAAGCATCCGTACACGACAGAGCTGTGTGTGCGTGAACCCTACAAAATGGAAATACGTAGTTCTTCTTCCACTTGAAGGAGTCAGAGAGACTGACGGCTTCTTAACACTGACTTGTGCCAGATGCTTCCCTTACCTGGTCGTCCCATTTCACCCTCCCACAAGCCTGGGAGCCGTGGACTATTACTGTTACATTTTGTAGGTGAGGAAATGAGACCCTGCGGGTTAAACCTGAGGTCACAGAAGCAGCAAAGACAGAGTCAACCTGAATCCAAAACCCACGTTCTTCTTGCTCATGGCTCAGCCTTCTCAAGGTCTATCAAATACTTTTGCCTTTTCCTGTGCACATCTGTCAACCTTCCTGTTGGCGTAATGTTGATAGTTCATGAGGAGATGCTGCCAGAAGACCTGAGGAGGAACAGAAGGAGTTTTTTGGAAGGTGCAGAAAGGATAGAGGTCTGACACGTGTTTAGGCATTTCCAGGAGGTACAGCACAAGAACGCAATCTCAGCCTTAATTCGCGTCTCCTGCGCATGGGATGGGGCGTCCTTCTGTATCATGTTTAGGAGATACTTCTGGTGCCTTCATTCCAAGCACACACTGCAGCTCGCCAGCATCCCACTGTTTTTGTCCACAATCTCCCTCCCCCATCAGACGACGGTCTCGGTTGCAGGGGTGACGGTGGTGTCTTCCACGCGCCTGGGTTGCATCTCATCTTTGAAAGCTCTGGTCAGAACCACTTTTAAGGACTCCTTGAACCGCTTCTTCCTGCTGCTGCCCACGAAGAAGTAAATGAACGGGTTGGCGCTGCTGTTGATGGTAGAGAAGAGGAGAGAGACGTGGTGCAAGTTTCTGAAGGTCGACCAGTACTCGTAGTAGAGCAGGTAGAGGAGCCTCATGGGCATGGCGAAGATGAAGAACACGACAATGGTAACCGTGATGACCAGGTACAGCTTCGAGGAATGGGACGCCCACGACTTCTTCTGGATCTTCACCACCAGGATGGCGCTGGACACCACCATGAGGGGAGTGAAGACCAGGAAGCTCAGGACAGCGATGAAGATGATCACCGCCCTGCAGTCGCTTCGAGAGTGGGTCTGCCCTTCGCTGTCAATGCACATGACGTACTCCATGGTGGTCACCAAGCAAGAAAGTGCCCACAGGAGGGCACAGACGAAGGCTGACTGGTGCTTGGGGCGATGACATCGGTACCAGATGGGGTACAGGACGGATAGGCACCTCTCCACACTAATGGCTGTCAGCAGATAGAGGCCTGTGTTGTAGCCAAAGAGAAACGTCACTGATAACGTGACAATGGTGTAGTAGTAGCTGGAAGAGAGCTCGTAATCTAAAGCGTAGTCAACAGTCAGAATAAAAATGCAAGAGAGTAACGAGATGTCTGCAACAGACAAGTGGGTGATGTAGACGGTGAAGGGGTTTCTTCTCATCCGGAAGCAGAGGAACCAGAGGAGAATCCCATTCTCAACAAAGCCCAGCGGGGAAACAGTCATGATCACCCAGTGCAAAACTGGGATTTCCCGACGCTGGTCCCCAGCGGAGGTGTTCCTGCTGGCAGAGGCGTTCACAGAATCTTCAGCAATAAATGACGTCCCGTTTGTCTCATCCATGAGGAGGCCTCAGCCCGGGCTCTTCAGGTAGTTTTCTGTAAAGAAGCAAAGAACAAAACAAAACATGAAAGCTGATGACTTGCAGTAAAAGGGAGATTTCAGCTATAGCTTGTAACCTTCACATTATACAAAAAAAATGCTTACTACAGTGTACAACTCTCTTTCTAATGAAGATAAAACTAGACCTTTCACCAGGATGAAGAACTGATTTAATGACCTTTTTTGATGCTCCGTCTCCCCCAAGTAGACTTTAATTCTGTAACGTTACTCACTAGTTGTTAGGTGCCAAAGGGGATCTGGCAAAACAAGAGAGTCAGAATTCCTGGTGTCCATTTCTTGTCTGGCCTGAGCTTTTTGAATGGCATTTTGAAAATCATTGTATCTTCTGTACCTTCATCTCCTGGCTTGAGGGACCAGGTTAATCACATTAAAATGTAATGACATGCACTCTAATATTCATAGTAGCACTATTTACAATAGTCAAGACATGAAACAACCCAAATGTCCATCAATGGATGACTGGATAAAGAAGTTATGGTATATGTATACAGTGGAATACTACTCAGCCCTAAAAAAGAATGAAATAATGCCAGTTGCAACAACATGGATGGACCTAGAGATTATCATACTAAGTGAAGTAAGTCAGACATAGAAAGACAACTATATCACTTATATGTGAAATGAACTTATTTACAAACTGGAAATAGACTCACAGACATACAAAACAAACTTATGGTTACCAAAGGGTTGGGGGAAGGGATAAATTAGGAGTTTGGGATTAACATATTCACACTACTGTATATAAAGTAGATAAACAACAAGGACCTACTGTGTAGCACAGGGAACTATACTCAATATCTATCTTGTAACAAGTTATAATGGAAAAGAATCTGAAAAAGAAAAAAATACATGTATATGTATGACTGAATCACTTTGCTGTACACCTGAAACTAACACAACACTGTAAATCAACTATACTTCAATAAAAATAAGATTTTAAAGATAAAAATAAAAAATAAAATGTGATGACAAAATACATGCTTGGGCAACGCTATTGTCACTTTTTAATGCATAAAATGTCATAAGCGATGGGTGATTGAGAGGGAGTAGCTAGAAAAATACACGTTCAGCAGAGTACCAATAACTTCAAAAGTGTAAACGATCTGAAGGCATGTATTTCACGTAGTCTCAACATCTGCGATGGCGCCAGGCCCCTGCTCAGACTGGGTCTGCCGCACAAAGTAGCAGGTGGCACGCTTCAACAAGATGCATTGCGTCCAGCACTCCAGAGGCCAGACCGTGCAAGAAAACAGAACCGACAGACATTACACAAAGCGCTAACCCGAAACCAATAAAAGTGCTGAATATTTGAGACTGCAAAGCAAAGAGCACCAGAAGCTTTCCCTCACACTTTAGGAATTGCAAAATAAACATATGCATGGCCCCCACCCTCTTCCTGTCATGTAAGGAACATACATTAACCACTTCCACCACCGGCCAAGGGGAAGGGGGGCGTCCAGAGGTCATCTCCTTTGTTCCAGCTTGTGCTGTCCTTGGATTGCTTTCCCTTTCTTTCTTTCTTCCTTCCTTCCTTCCTTCCTTCTTTCCTTGCTTTCTTGCTTTCTTGCTTGTAGTAGTAAAGCATTGTTCTTTGCTTTTTTGGTCCTTGAAGACCAAGGCCCTACATGAGCAAAATAATCAGCCTTTGGGAAGTTAATTAGTAGATACCTGCCTTTTCCTCATGAGCTCACCGGAGGCAGCACAGTACCTAGATGTGATATTTTGTGGAACTTGACTGTCTCTGATGGTACGAGATGCTTCCAGGGTTGACTCAGCAGATCCCCAGCATTGGCAAGGCTCCGAGTTTTCATCTCAGTGCAGCTGTGCCTGAAACCTGGACCAGCAGATGGGCTGGTGAACAGGGTATTTGCTTCCCAGTGATGTCATCCAGGAACCTACAGAAGTCCCTGCCTTCACTGTCTGGGTACCCCTCTCCCCACTAACGCTCCCCTCAGCTGTTCTGATGAGGTCCTGGAAATTATTTTTAATGGAACAGATTCTCCTTTCATTTCATAATTAGACCAAAGACATAAACCCCAACACCCTCACCCACCCAACACAAGGACCAGAATTCACATGTCATGGCTGACCAAAGAGCTGCCGTACAGACCAGGCTTTGTTAGAAGTTTGTGGGTAAGCCAGCCATGTTCCCCAAGTTCATCCATCAAATATTTATTCAGTGCCAGCTTCGGGTACTGGGATACAGCAGTGAATGAAACAGAGAAAGCACCAACCTCCTGGAGTTTTTATTTCAGTGGGGAGGCCGTCGATAACCAATAAACAATAACAACAATGAACAAAAAGATGTCATATTATAACAAGTACAGCAGAGAAAAGTAAAGCGTGGACCATGGCTGGACCAGAGAGCAGCTGTGGAGACGTGATGGTAAGACATGGCTGGATCCCGAATGCAATTTGAATTGCTAAGAGATGAGACATGAGTTATTGTAGAAAAAGAGAATACGTTTTTAGCCATCGGTTGAAAAGACAGCGCACAGGTGGAGGGGGTTTGAAAGGGGCACATGGAGTTTGGGAAGCTCATGCAACAGCCAAACTATCTCAGAATGTGCTGGGAGCTGGGGGGATAGATGTAGGCTGAATGCAAACAGGTGAAATGCAAAATCATGAGGCTAGACAAGATTGCCTATGAAAATAGGGGGAATCATAAAGGAGAAGAGGTCCCAGGACTGAGCGCCGGGGCACTGCAAAATGTAGAGTTTGGAGAATGAGGAGAAGGAAGAAAAAGAAAGTGAGACAGATTGACAGAGAGGTAGGAGACAGGCAAGGGAGCAGGGTGTCTAGGAAACAAGAACCAAAGTCAGTGTTTCAAGGTGAAGGGCGTCTGATCAACTGTGCTGACCTCTACTGTAAGTTCAAGTTCGATGAGAACTGGAAATGGACCATTAGAGCAGAGTCATTGCTGACCTGGATAAAGGCAGTTTACCTAGAGTGGAGAACGTGGAAGCCTGATGACTCAGGTGGATCCCAGAGAGGGTGGGGGGGAGACAGGGATATAGACCACTCTCTTGAGGAACTTGAATGAGTGGAGGAGCAGAAAGGGAGCAGTAACTGGAAAGGGCTATGGGGTTAAAGGAGTATGGACAAGCTGATAAGAAAGAAAACAATTGATGCTTCAGGATGTTGGGGTCTAGAGCTCAGTGGAGTTGCTGGCCTTAGTGGGAGCCTAATTTATACATGGGAACAGGAGGGAAAGCAGAGTGTGTGGTTTCTGATGCAGCTAGGTGGGTAGAGTGATGGAGAGCTAAAGTTGGAAGAAGTTCTCTTCTGAATGCATGGTATCTCTTTTTTCAGCAAAGTCAGGAGCAAGGTCATCAGCTAAGAGTGAGGAGCTGTTCAGGGTTTAAGGAGAGAGGGCAAGGTGTGAAATAATCAAGTGAAAGAGGAAAAGGACAGGGGAAATATACAAGGAGCAAGGTTGCCTGGACTAGTGCTCACAGATTTATAGAGAGAATTCAGTGTGGCATGTGCTCTTCTCCAGCTGTGACTCAGCTGTCCAGGTGTGAGTGTGGAGAAAGAAGAGAGTTGGATTCAACCAAGACTGGGGTTCTGTTGGACTGGTGCAGTGGAGAGCAGGGGCCAATGACATGGAAGCACATGGAAGGGAATGGAGTATGGAATTCAACAGGCTCGGAGAACAGTGAGGCCAGGAGAGAGGTGGTGACAGTGAACAGGAAATAGGAGCCATCCGTCCTAGACCCCAGTGGTGTCAGAGAACTGAGTGCTGAGGTCCGGGGACTCAAGGCAGAGAACTGGAAGACAGGAGGTGGAAGCTGAAGAATGGGATGCTTGACACTCAGATTGCGGTGCTGTGGTTTGGGGGTTACTGGTATTGACCCGTGCAGAGCACGACCCTGGGAATGAACGACCGAGGGAGAGCTTAGGACAAGACCACCTGAGGTGAGATCAGGACCCGGAGCCAGGGTGTTGGAAGAATTATCCACACGGACATTGAAACCACTGGGAAATGGTGTTGGGATGCAGGAATATAATTTTGAAAAAAAGAAAAAACTGGCTGTGAGTCAGGTGCTAACATCTTCCACGAATTTGGGAGAGTGACCCAGGGGTCTGTAGACAGTCATGGCAAGGTTGGCAGGTGATACAGTTGGATGGCGTGCCCTTCAGAGCTGGGTGTTTTGTTATTGTTGGTGATGGTGGTGGTGGTGGTGGTGGTGATGTTTTAGGGGGAAAGAAGAGGCAAGAAGAATAATCTGAAATACAAAAATGGTAGAGGGTAGGAAAGGGCTAGATCAGAGTTGTGCAATAGAAATATGAGGTGAGCCATATGTGTCATTTAAGGTTTTCTGGTAGCCACACACAAAAAAACTAAAAGGAAGCATGTGAAATGAATTTTAATAACATATTTTATTTAACCCAATGTTAAATAAATCCCAGTGTGTTCAAAATACCATTCCAATGTGTAATCGATATAACAAAATTAATAAGCTACTTTACATTCTCTTTCCAACATTAAGCCTTCAAAGCCAGCATGTATTTTACTCTCATAGCACATCTCCCTGCAGACCTGCCACAGTTCACGTGTACATCGGCCACATGTGGCTGGTGGCTACCATATTGAAAGGCTCAGATTTAGGGCCACCACAAAACCAAAAATAGCTTATACAAGGAAGCCAAATGTTTCCATTTTTTAAATAAAAAACCTAAATCAAAGACCAGAAATGTACAAGCAGGACCTAATCAGAATTTTTAAGAAAAGAGACAAGAACATCTTTCTGCCTCAGGTTCACATCCTGGAATCCCTCACAGGTCACAGCATCATTCAGCTTCTGGCTTCTCATTCCAGGCGAGAGAACTGCATTCTGTTGATTCTTA